GCAGGAGAGAATTATCAGTTTTCAGCAGTTGGATGCGGTTATGTTTGAATTTTTGGAGGACTGCTCAAACTCATTTGGGATTCCTTCAGAGGAAATTAATGCAAACATTTGGGAACTTGCCAGAAACATGACAGTTTTTTATTTTTTCTTTATGGATGTGAGTCGGGAAAAAATTATCCTGCAAAGAAAGGAACACTGACATAGATACAGTGCTCCCTAGTGGAGCTGATGCTATGTGTGCAGTTGTATACATTACTTTATCCAATATGTCAATATTCAATAAGGCACCATGGACTCAGTGACCTTGGGAGCATTACATGATTCATTTGATTTACAAGAATAAACTGTTCTGAACCTTCGATCTGGTATGTCAAACAAATGAGGATTTCTAGTAGGATCTGTCTCCCTGTGTCGAACAAACATTGAATGTTCTTCAGTAAACAAGAGGGCTGGATGCACTTCAGCTGCAGAAAATGATGGCATTGTAGAATGGAGGTACTATTCAAAAAGGCATGAATACAAAGACTGACTAAGGCTGCTTTACTATTATGTAACGTTTATGTAAAACTCTTCATGGACACTGGGATGGTGTCCCTCAAGTATTAGAAATTGAGACTCTGTATGATTAAATCTGCTATTACATATACTATTATTCCAATCTTACTATTGAAGCATTTTTTTATTTTTGTGACCATGCTAAAAACCTTCAAGCCTTTTTCTGATTCCATACTTGCTACATTTAAATTTTCCTTCCTTGTTGATAAGCTTTTGTTCTGTAGTGATGTACTCCCTAATAACACCAGTTTTCCTCAGAGTAAATATTCTTATAATTTATTTTCTTAGAATAAGGCAAGATGCTACTGCTTCTCTTATCCTGCTATGGAAGGTGACAACCACTGGATTTAAACAGTGCTCACTTATTGATGGCAGAAGTGTCACTCTTCTCCAGGCACTGGGTGGACTTGTTCTTTCTGAAGAAATGCTTGCATTAGGAAACAACTACTTTATTGGTGAGTCACATGCTGACTTTCTGTTTATCACCTCTAGGTGACAGCTGATGGTTTACCCAACATTTAGAGAAACAAACAGGTAATTCCCTTAATTTAAGTACTAAACTCCAGTTGCATCAAGGGAGGTTTAGGTTGGATATTAGGAAAAATTTCTTCACTGAAAGAGTGGTCAGGCATTGGAACAGGCTGCCCAGAGAGGTGGGAGAGGCACCATCCCTGGAGGTGTTAAAAAAAAAAAAAAAAAAAAAGACGTGGCACTTCGGGACATGGTTTAGTAGACATGGTGGCGTTGGGTTGACAGTTGGCCTTGATCTTAGAGGTCTTTTCCAACCTTAATGATTCTATGATTCTATTCTAAGTGCTGCTGAAAGATCCAGATGTGATATTGGGACCATATTTTAGACGTTAGCTCATTCAAAGCAGGCATGAGGTACACTAAATTCTTACACAGGTGGCACCATTCAGTTTAAAATCTAGATGTTGATTTTTGCCTGATGCCTTTAGATGATGCAAGGTATTTTATACATTCTGTTTTAATCAGCTGTAAAGCTTTTGGTAAATGCTACAGTAAATAACTATGAATGTTTGAGTTGTTTCCTTGTTAGATATTGTATTATGGGATACTTCGCAGAGAAGCTTAAACCTGTATGCAGTCCACTTGAAAAACTGTATTAAAATATAGTAGGAAATCCGATCTTCTAACAGTGTTTACTTGCACTACTTTTTCTGGTCTAGTTTTGTCTCTGTGAATATGAAACCTCAAAAATATACTATATGTCTCATTGGGCAATTAAATGTTAAGGATCTTTGTAGAAGGGGTGTAATGAAAATAGGCTGATATGTTATTTTTGAGTGTATGGGAAATAATGCTGATTTAATACTGTATTTATGCATAGACACAATAGACTTAATTAAATTGAGCTTTCTGGGCAGATGGTTTATTATACCAATGACATGAAACCAAAGTCATTGTAATAACAGCATTTATTGTAATCTTCTTGAAATACTGTATATCTTATAATGAAGTATAAGCTGCCACAAATTGTTATTCAGCAACTTATCATGCTAGTAAATGTAAAATTAAAAGCATTCTGATGCAGAAACATTGGGCCAAGTTCTAAGTGTGTAGCTAATACAGAAAAAACCACAAATGCAGTAGCAGTGCCATGTTCTCTCCTTTCGGAGCTGTCACTTAGCAAAAATATTGCTTGAAGGTTGTTAGTATAATAATTTAATTAGTATAATAATTTAATTACCATCAGCAGTGGTTTATTTTAGTGATATTTATTTTCTTCAAATAATTTTCCAGTTCCTTATATTTTCTTTCTTTTTTACTTCCTTCCAAGATACTTAGTTTTAGCCTTTTTCCTTTTAATCTAGTTTTGCATTTAATTTATCATAGTTAAAACTCTCCTCATGTGTCTTCCTCAGTAATAAATTTTTGTATTTGCCTTATGGTAGTTAACATACAATAAAAGTAAAGAAAAACTTGCTGAAGACAGGATAATTTGTAACCTTTATGTAGTCATGGAAGTACCTAAAGGCATAGTTTTGTCTATAGGCTCCCAAATAGAAGGCCTAAGTTGCTCTGTGAAGGCTCTACTTGACTGTACATGCCATAGAGCATAGGCTATTAATTTAGATAACTAAAGAGAATATTGTCTTACTCTTTCATAGTTTGTCTTGTCCTACTTTTCTCTCTGTAGCTGTCTTTTGGTCACTGGGATTTTTACTTTGAATTGTTTACTGCATGCTAGGTAACATGAAGTGAAAATATACCTTGGTGACTATAAAACAAGGTTGATATCATAAAAATTGTACTAACGATCTCACTTATTTCATGCAGTACAAGTTTTCTGAGTCCTCTTATTTTATTGCCATCTGGTTTTTGATACCTTCTTTGGTCTTCCTTCTTAATTTCATGATACTGAAATTCTTTGTAGAATTTTCCAGTTGTAGCGTAATTTGATTTATGTAAAGAACATGAATTGTAAATGCGTATGCATGGAGCAGCAGGGAGACTCCAATAATACAGTGATACGTTCCTGAATAGGAGCATCTGAGTGCTTAGTAAAGATGAGTGCAGATACAGTGCATTTGAATTTTTATAAATCCTATTTATTTTAGCAAATGGATGGATTACCTGTAGTGCTTTTGATAGAAAATGAATATGAAACATTTGCTCTGCATATCTTTTAGTCCTCAGGCGTTGCAACTCTACACTATGATATAATCAAGTAATGAGATAACCCAACTGTTTTCTGGAGTAAGTTATTTTATGTGGCCTTAGTTTAGTTATAGGTTTTCCCAGAATAATTTCCTGTCATTAAAACACTTGAGCAGAAAAGGGTGAAATACTAAAGGGATACGGAAACTGAAACATGAATTTGTTAGTTTAAAAGTGTTTGTGACCTATCAACATCTATTGTAAGAAAGCGAAAACAGAGTAGCTTCTGGATTTTCTTCTCAATTGTATGGAAATATTCTGCTAACTTTCCATCATCAGTTCTCATCCAATAAAGTGCAAGTCTTGGGTGTAAAACTTAAAAAGGAACTCAGTTATTTGGTGTGAAGAATGTTAAATTTTATCTGAAATCCATAATTCTACATAAAAATAATTACATCTTTACTTCAGATTTGATCCAGATGTAAAGAAATGGTCTGTGAATCTGACACACCTCACTTAAGTTTTTAGTTTTCAATAGTTTAGTTTTCAATAAGATCAGATGAATAAATTTTTTCATACAGATAAATTTCATTTGTTTCTTGATATACATGTTAAACTTATTCTAAGTACAGTAAGTTAAAATGGATGATTTTATACAAAAAAGCAATAATGTAGCATGTGCTTTTATTAATGATATTTAAGCTAGACCAATCACGAGGCCACAAGACAATATAGGATGCTGTAATGCTGTGGACCATGCCAGTTGATATATTTACTTTATATACTTCCCCCCTCCTTCCCACAATCTTTTTTCTGCTTATTCAAATGAGTTTATAAAGGATTGTTCTCTTAATTAGCAACTTCTATACAATGCAATTTTTTTTTGAACTTTAAAAAAATTTCTAATTAGAACTGTAAAAGAAAAAGGGGAATATCTAAGTTTATGGGGAGTTTTTTCCTCACTCTCTTGCCTCCAAGTTTGTTACTCAGCTTGATACTTTAATTACCTTTTGCAAATCTCTCTGAACAAGATGGTTATGTCAAAGATAAAACATTTAGGAAAATGTTATTTGGTTTGGTTTGTGTTACCTCATGGTGACACAAGTTTAAAGTTGTTTATACAAGATTGAAAAGATTCAAAATCTGGCAGTAATGTACTGAATTGCTGATCATGTGAGTCAGGGCACAATGTCTAGAGGTTGGAAAGAATGCAATCTCTGAGATCTAAAAATAGACACCTTAATCATAGCCCTGTTTACCCAGAGACAGTACCTGCACTGTCTGAGAGTGAAGGTTTTGTGGGAAGGAGAAGAGTGTAACACAACCAAACAAAAAAGAGCAATAATAGGATTGATAAAATGGCCGCTGCATCTGCAAACAGTCTTTTGCAGTGCAGGAATAGAGTTCTGATGCCACCATTATGCAGCCTGATTAAACTACGGCATTTACCCCATTAAAATAAGCTCCAGTAGATGGGCAACAATACTAACGTGAAGACTGGCTTGTACCTTTTGTAATATATTCTTACCGTGACTGCTTTGCTTAGAGTATTTTTAATGAGTTTGTAAGATTTGATACTTACACATGTGCCAGTCTTCTAAAATAATTGATTATGTTTTATTAGAAAGTATACTTATTAGCCAGTGGGGAAAAAAAGACCAGTATGGTTCAGGTTTTGAAGTGAAAAAGCCCCTGAAAGTACTGATTCACTCAGTAGGTTAGGTGGGTTAGGTGTAGAATGAAGCACATAGCATATCCTGATGGCTTTTAATGCCAAGTTACTATGAGACAAAGGTAATTGCTAGATGGTTGATCTGTAGTACAAAGCTGGTGAACTGTTGATCTCTGACCACTGTTTGCAACAAAAAGGTTTCATTTGATGCCAAAAGAATTTCAAAAGTTTTGTGCCCAAATTCAGGCTTAAAAAAAAAAAAGTACTTTATTGACGGCAAATGTTTTTAATATCTACACAGAAAAATGTCAATTCTGTGGAGTGCTATGGGTGGATATTGAGATTTGCCAAAGAGATAGCTCGGAAGTGAAGGAGGAGGGAATTAATCATATTTTTAAATAAGAGCTATCAATAAAGGGATTAACATTTAAAACATATTAATTCATGGAAAGCCTGCCTTTTACTTCAGCAGAGCTATAGCTTCATGCTATTTGTCCCAATGTTCTTTGAAGTTAATGAGTGATTCTTGCCTAAACTATTTATCATAATTATAAAATCTCATCAGTATTTGTTTTAATGAAAGATCTTCATACCTTCATGCTGTCAACTCTGTTGACAAAACCTGCTTCTCATCAGCTTCCATGGTTTAATGTTGGAAAAATTGCTTTTCTGCTCTGGTGTGCCTACTGCTGAAGCTGCAGCAGTGGGAACTGTTTCAGAAAAGTAACATAACAGACGGTTGGGTGTTAGTATTTTGCCTCCATTTCCCCATAGGTAATATGATAGAAAAGTTTGTGTATCTATAGTTGTTAAAAAATGCTTGCAAATAGCTTGAAATTACTTACTTTTTGACTTTGTTATTTATTTAGCACTTCCATGATGTAGCTTAAAAAGCAGCTTTCAGGAGATATTGCTACGTTAGTTTTTTAGTTTACTGTCCTCTTATAAAATAGAGGAAGAAATTTATAAGCAAAATTGCTATTTCTCAGATAGGACCTTACAGGTAATAAGACAGAAGACTTAACATTTAATATGAGTGAATATTTTTATATGAATAGAAAATAAATCCTCCAGCACAATCTTTAAATTATAACGCTTATTTTCATCACAGCAAAGAAAAACTGATGTAGACCAGGTGTGTAATCTGGTTTTCTGCAAGAT